CTCCAAGATTCTCTCTTGAGGTATACAATAATATTGACATTTTTTTCTTTAATTAATATCATCCGATGTAACGCTTGCGTGAATATTTCGAAAGCTAAAATTTTAACACAGTTTTTTAGAATAATATCGATTTTAAAATTTCAAACTGTTAAAAACGAAAGTATTATTTTTCAAGCTAGAGTTTATTTAAGAAAATTACATAAGATTAAATACTTGTTTTTCCAATATAATTTTGAAGGCAGACACTTATCTTTAGAAATAAAACTACAGTTTTTAAGCGTGAATCCTAGCGTAGGAGATAATACTACCCCAGGTAGCGTTGAGAGTTAGAATGTTCAATTTTCTCACACGTTGAGTTCACACCTATTCATTTATTCTGTGGAAATGTTGCTTGTCATTCTTTTTATAATATGGATAATTGTAAAGAAATACAATTCTGAATTTTAGAAAATCAATGAGTTTCTTCACTTTAGAAAAATCGATCAGATGTTTTGTGAAGTACAGAAGAACTAGACCTATGCTTCTAGTGTGAATGCAAAAGAGAATTATATTTAAGGAAGCGAAATGTATAAGCTTTGTTAAATATGCAACGTAGAGCTTTCATTAAGATTATTTTAAATAACGATATAGTGAATACTTGTGAGTAAACCAGTTTTTTTTAATAAAATAAACGGCGGACGTACCACAGACAAAACCACCATCTCAAATGTTAGACTACTAGAAAAGGTGGAATAGAAGCAGTTTCCGAAGTAATAAAAAAAATAAGATTGTGTAGGATGGGACACGCCGTAAGTAAGAATGAATCCAGATGATATCACAGAAATAGCGCTATACTTGACACCTCAAGGAGAAATAAAGAAAGGAAAGCCAAGGTAGATGTGGAGGCGCACGGCCGGGGAAGCAGCTGGCAGAGGCAGGACTGTCATGGGGGACTGCCAGGTAAATTTGCTGGTGACCGACAAAAGTGGATGAAGCTTTCTGAGGCGGCCCAGTGCGTCTTGAGCACACAAAAATGAGAATATGAGCATAGCAGTAACTTTCTTTGTACATTTTGAAGCTAGCGGCCGCAATTTATAAAGCTGCAAGATAGTGTATTAAGAAACATAATGTTTTATACATCCAGAGTGAGCATTTATTAACACTGATGCTATTCTGTAGCGAGGTAAAGACGGTGTTAAATAGTGAAGATGTTTTATTAATAGAGTGAATATGTGTTAACAATAATTGTAGTTGATTAGGGGCTCAACCATATATGACGTTACGCTTTTTATGTAGAGTTTTACCTCCCTCGCTCCCGACTTTAGCACATCGCTATAAAAAACCAGCCCTCGATCCTCTTAAATGTCTTCTCATCATGAGAGTACAACACCCCCCCCCCACCCCTGCCTCTGATTAAAATTAAAGTGTAAAATTTTTGAAAGCATCATTTTTTCCAAAGATATAAACTGAGCAATGTATGTGAATTAATTTATATTATAATATACTAAATTGGTTTCAAAAACGCAAAATAAAAAACTTAAATTTACTGTTTTTATTATTGTGATTTTGAAAATGCTGCCAAAAAAGATACTTGATGGATTCTTCTGTCTGCCTTTAGAATATAAATATATAAATGTGGTTACAACTTAAAGACATGTTTAATGTCACAGTTTTGTGATAAACGCGATATTACAAATTTAGGATTATAACTACTTTAGTATAGATGGTGTATCACAAGTTTGGGATAGACAAGATCCTACGGCTTTAGGATTATTGGATTTGTACAGCTTAAGAAAAAATACCAAGAACGATAGACAGATTCTCGCGATGCCTCAAGATCAATATTGAATGGATCTAAAAACAGAAGTATGAGAGGGAGGTAAATTACCGGTCGATGATACCAGAAACATCAAGAGGGGGGGATGTGGAGGTGCAGAACGCAAGGGCGGCTCCATTTTGATGTGACACTAGATAGAAAAACTGTAAATTGTATTGTCTAAAGTCTAAACAATGTTTTAACTATTTTCCAATAACACAATAGTAGGGGAGAGAGGTGACACGATACTGGAAATGGTAAATTGTGGGATTTGTACGGAGTGTCTCCCGAAGTTCTGAAGCCTTTGGATGATATCAATCATGATATTTAAAATAAAAATATCAAAAAATACAGAATTGATGTTTTAGTTATTTATCAACACGGTAGCGTAAGAGTAATTGGGTGACACCCGACCTAGTGGCGCCACTGGACATCGCAATCATAGTATTCTTAAGCTAAACTTAAGAAATAAAGAAACTAAAACACAATCACATTTTAAATTTTGAATTAAAGTTTTAGTTTTTATCAACACTTTAGTATGGGCGTCATGAGTTACAATCCACGCTTAGACAAGTGGTAAATAACTGGATGGCGGGACGATACATCAAGGGGAGGTAAGAGCTCAAGAGAGTTGTACAGAATCATCAAGGGCGACAACTTGAGAGATACTCATTGACATAATAGATGGACTGTGTACAAAGGGGAGATAATTAAGGACAGAAAGTCAGATGGTAATTATAGTTTTATTTTAATACAAAATGCTAATGACCATTTAATTTAGAATTAGTGGTCAATAACACAGATGAAGTAGAGTCTATCTAATTCTTAGACATTGGTATAAAAATGTATAATGGTCAGCTTTTTTAAAAAATTTTTATCTAACAGTATTCAGGGTACGTTGTATACATGTGTGAGAATCAAAGAGTGATGATAATTTAAGTTAGCCTGTCACCCCTCCTAGGTCATAGGCCTCTGAAAAGAGCTTTTTAGGCATCTCTGTCCTGGTCTAGTCTCTCCAGTTGTAGCCAATCTTCTTGGTGTCTTTTTCCAGGTCACATCTCCAGGTCTTCTTTGGTAGGCTTGTATCTCATTTACTGTGGGTTCTTGGTAAGAACATGTTATGCTGGATACAGGCTTCCTGAGTTTGTCGCTAATCCATCTCCATTTTCTCTGGAAGATCTCTTCTTCAACTGGCAGTTGATTTGTCCCTTGCCACTATACCTCATTTCTGATGGTTTTAGGCCAGTGTATTCGAAGTATATAAGGCATACATTTATAAACATTAATATTTTCTCAGCTGTGGCAGTTATTCTACATGTCTCAGCTTCCTATAATAAAATAAGATTTACTAGTGTGTTGAAGACACGGGTGTCTATTCCAAGAATTACTTTTCCAGAAACCCAAACATTTTTTAGTTCGTTGCATGCTGTTCTTGCCTTGCCCGTCTTAATATGTGTGTATGCTTTTATCATTCTTTGCTCACTTGTAATAATTCCAAGGTAGATGAATCCATCCAATTCTTCGATAGCTTATTCGGCCAATGTTACAGGCAGTACTGATGGTGAGCGATATTTAAATTGTATTTAAAAAAAAAAAATGTGCACAGTAAAAACCCAGCCACACTTACTCAACATCCGGCGAGAGAGAGACTTGTATTAATTTGTATTACAACATAGGTCAAGGGTTGCGTCGTGTTGAAACCTACGTCACAAGAGGTCAACCTACTTAACACTTATCAGAAGTCGCAGTATTGTTGTCAAAACGTATGCGTCATGTGATTTATTCATTAGTTCATCTCGTTATACTTTATACTTTAAAAATATGTATTTAATATACAGGATACAAAAAAAAATTAGAAGTAAAAATTGTAAGTGGGTTAAAACACTTTCAGAAAATTATAAAACAGTTGCTTAAAACATATTGTCCTACTGTTTTCAGCTTGATATAACGTTACGTTTGAACGTGTATTTTTGTAAGAACATTGACATCACCATTTTATCGGAACAATCTATCGTATGTTAACTAAAGAACAAACGAGATGTGTGTGTGGTGTTATTAGAAGGATGAAGCTACGATTAACTAGGGTAATTTTGTAACAAATTAACCTAGCAAAATGGGTTAAAATGAAGGGTTATTGTGTACAATTTGTTATATATTTATGTTATATATATATATATATATATATATATATATATATATATATATATATATATATATATATATATATATTTAAATATTTATATATACATGTATATCTTAACGTGTATATGTTAATCATTTTACAGTTTAATTTATTCTTACAAATGTGTTGCGCACATCTTCCATATGTGCTGCCTATGATGCATTATAAGTGTCACATGGGAAGACCTTGTCTCCAACCAAGACTTCTTAAAGCAAGCTAATGCCCTTAGTGCTCAGAGAATGATAAAAATCAAATCAATCTCGTTTGTTGGGGGGGGGGGTTCTATTCTGCCGCATATTTGACCGCCGAATCCCGAAAAATATCTTATACGGGGTTCTTACCAATGGCAAAAGACTTAAGGAACGATACTTGCTGAACTACAGACGTGTCTGCAAACAAGAATTGGGGCAACAGACATCAGCGATCACATGATGGAACAGCTGGCACAAGACAGAATAATGCGGAGACACGTCATGTGGAACGGCATCCTCATTGGTGAAGGAAAAAGAGAGAGAGAAGACGGAAATCTGCCAAAAAATGTAACGCTAACTATGATCTGCAGTAGCTGTGACAGATATTGCCGCTCCAGAATCGAAATGATCCGCAAGAAAAGAGGCTGCACAAAATAAAAACATCTTAAATCTCTGTACTGAGTCTGTATACATTCCACTCTCTCGAGGCAAAATGAGACGTAAATGAAGATCTTTCATATGTCACAAAAATAACAAAGGCATCTTACATCCTTTAATTGTTTCTGTGAATTAGGCTCTGGGTTTTCATAACAAAACAACAATTTACGTCAATTCTGTGTAAAAAGTTAGCATGTAAAATCTAAAGTTTGAAGTGGTGGTTCATTATCAAAATTACCATCCGTTAATAAAATGCTGCAAGGTTATGATAAACAGACAGATGGTATTTAAGTGGAGTCTAATTAAAACTCGGCCTACGACTGGTGCATTTCGCAACAAGGAAGTGAGTTATATAGGCGTTGTATCGTGTGTAGTGTAGGTTGGTTTCAAATTGAAATGTTCGTATCCATGTTATATCTTTGTTCTTTATTTCGCGCATTACCAAAAGTGAACATTTACATGCCAATAATTTAAGCTGTTTCGGCTAATAATGTGAGTTGCAATATATTTCTAACTAAATATGGACAAATAATTTCTGTTTTTTTTCTTGGAGAATAATATATAATTTCTTGCTGATAAAAGTATGTATTTTTAAAAATAAAATGTAATTTACATGAGGAATACGGATTGTTGATGCAATTAGGTACTTTTATATTTAAATTATATTTACTGTGTTATATTGCGTCTTGTTTATAAAATCACGTATTTAAAACAATGTATTTTATATGTGAGATAACTTCTTTGTGATACATTTACGTGCTGTTATAAAATGTTTTTAATTAATATATTATATAACTTTTTATTGATACAATCAATGTCTAAAAAAAGTATATCATGTATGAGATATTTTCTTACAGCTTAAAGAACTTGGTTCTAAACAAAACTGTATATCTAAGTAACAAAAAGTAACACAACCCGAAAAAAAATAAAACTTTGTGTCTTGAGCTTGGACTGATCTCCCTTTGCAGAGAGCCGTAATAAGCCACGCCTACCTCGGCAGTTAGATGGTGACATATAGACTGCAGACACATGCATTGACAGCATATATATTAACGACCGTGGTGTCTGTTTTCGTTGTTTGTTTTCGTTAGGACCTAAAGGTCTATGGCAGGTGAAGTAGAGTTCATCATGATTATCCTAACACGGCGAATAAAGATAACGTGTGGTCAGTACTGTGTCCAACAGTCCTAACTTTACCCAACAGTAAGTACTCATTAAAAGCTGAGTGAAGTCACTGGAGCCCGAGACTTTTGGGTTAGAAGCCGAGCGCTCTACCATCACGGCCACACTGACCCATCCGCGGCCTTCAGAGTTTCTTCCAGGCATCTCTTTCCCCCCCCCCCCCCCCCCACTCCCCCCCCCCCCCCGAAAAAATTCTACCGCCACCCCCCGAACGAAATGAAATTTATATAATTTATATAGAAAATATATACTTTTAACAGTGCCAGCACCCCCCCCCCCGAAGAAAGTACCGCCCCCCCCCCCCCCGAAAATTTCAAGTGCCCCCCCCCCGGAGAAAAAATCTGGAAGAAACACTGGCGGCCTTTACCTTCGACAACCTAATCTGCACCAATAAGCATCCATCTTTTACTACTGTCAATGCCGCCAGCCACAACAATAGTTTCTAATTTAACACATTTTTTATGACGTTTAAGTTTTAACTCCTTGTTTCTTTTATATACAGATAATTCCTTTATAATTAAATTCGAGAGACACCAACATGGAACAGCTGATTAAAATAATTTTACTTACATCACTGATGACCTCACTGTGCCAGACTAAAGGTAAATCATCTCAAGCGATGTTATAGTCAAACATGTGGATACTTACTTAATCAAACTCACGTCAAATATCGCGAGTATTTAAATATTTAAACAATTTTTTTAACATACAACCTGACATGTTTAATAAATTCTTATATAACTTGTCTCATCAAGTTTTTTTCCCTCCAAACGAGCGAGAGGAATTGTGACCACTTCTACTTGACCGATTTCTTTCAATTTTGACACGTAGGTTAAGATCGATCCCATGACAATGAAACATGGCATAAAATTTGAGTTCTATTCAATTAAGATTTCAAAGTATTAAACATTTAATAACAGAGATTTATATACGACATAACAATAAAAAAATTAGAATACGGTGTAATAAGGTTTAATATAATTATACATTTAAAGAAAAAAATATTATATATTTACACACATATATATATATATATATATATATATATATATATATATATATATATATATATATATATATATAATGGTTTAAATATTGTATAATCAGTCATTCTCTTTAATAACTATAAAAAATTCCATACGTCGCAAAAGATCAGCTAAAATAATAACACCTTACAGCTTTATGGCTATTAGAAATGCCAGACGCTTAATTTAAAAGGTGATCAAGTATTTGATCAAATACATTTTGATAGGTAGTATTTGCTACACATAACTAGAGTGAACTGTTATTCAACTGTATCTGTGACCTAGGCTTATGAAAGGGATACTGTGGTCAGCACTATGCCTAGTCAACTTTACAGAAGGTGAACTCTACTTCATTTGCCCCACAGACCCTGACGTTTGAAAAAAAAACTTTAATAAAATATTCCTGGCGCCATAATATTGAAAACATCCTTGATGTCAAATGAGGTTTAAGTGGGCATTCTGTTTAACCGCATGAAATAAATTATGGACAAGGATGCATTGTCGAACTTATTCTAAATGGGGTCAGTAGGTCTTTTGCTTGAGGTCAGTAGGTCGTAAGTGTGTACAGTAGTGTGCTCCGACACGCGACTATGTGCTACATTCTCTCTTGAGGGCATCGCTGTGTGCTCGCATATAGCTCTAGAACACACCAACACACGCTCTTGAACATACACTCATACTTCTACAAACACATATAAATGCACATATATACACATACATTTAACATTATCCATTTTGAATATTTATTGGAAGGCGTGGCCTAGCGGTAGAGCGCTAGACTGCTAACCCGAAAGGCTCGGGTTCGAATCCTTCAAGTCGTGGGGAAAGTCCCTGTGTCCGCCACATTTTGAACTGTACCTAACTCATGTTTGGGAAAAGTAAAGGCGGCTGGGCAATAGTACTGACAATACTATCCTTTCACATACCGAAGTCACAGAAGCAGGTGAACTCTACTTCACTTTCCCAGTGGACCGTCAGGTTCAAAAACGGAACATTATTATTTCAAATACTCAAAAGATGAATTATGTAATCTAAATGTATTAATAATCTAAATGTAGTAATTACAGTTACAAGTACATACGCATACATGATGGCGCTAGCGTGTGTTTAATTAAAATTATAGCAGCAACATCTTAGACTACACTTAACTTCGTAGATCACATTTACACAAATGCTGTACTTCAATGTTATCGATTGGAAACTTTATGACTTTTAGCCTACTGGATATCGCAAATACCAAAAAGCTTTAAAAAATAAAAAGCATTAAAAATTTCCATTAAGCGGATGTCATGAGTTTAAAATTGTTAACTAGTGCCTCTTTTGTACAAACGATGTTTTTTTTATTTACTGTTTTTCTTCCTTTCCTATCTTGGACTAGTGTCTTAATGTACCGTTTAGTATATATTGCTTTCATTAACCAACAGTTTAGTATATTGCTTTCATTAACCAACAGTTTAGTACAAATCGCGTTCATTAACAAACAATTTACCACATATCACTTTCATGAACCAACAGTTTAGTACAGACCACCTTCATAAACCATCCGTGAGTAACAAATGCCGACAACATGATTTAGAGTTTCTTCCAGGCATCTCTTGGGGGGGGGGGGGGGGGGGGGTAAACCCCCCCCCCCCCCCGAAATTTTTTTACCGCCCGCCCCCCTCCCCGATCGAAATGAAATGTATATAATTTATATAGAAAATATATACTTTTAACAGTGTCCCCCCCCTCAAAGAAAGTCAACCGCCTCCCCGAAAATAAAAAATGCCCCCCTCCCCGGAGAAAAAAGTCTGGAAGAAACACTTAACATGATGTGCTTATATTAACCACGAGAGAAGCGCCTACTGTCACCAACAAGGATGTAGAAAAACACTTAAAAATAGATGTTTCTATTTCTCCTTTACTAATGTTCTAATTCATTACTGTCCAAGAATTGCTTGTCTATGGAGCCACCGCTTGTCTGACACCCCCCTCCCCTAAAATAAAATATATTAATTAGGCTAGAAGTACTGTTTATTACTTATTGTTAATTAAGAGACGAGAATTGCATCTTTACATGAAATTGGATACATTAAAAGTCATTTTCAAAAAAAAAAAAAATTATGTGAGAAATAAAAAGGTTTTTAGCTTAAATAGTTTACCTTCATAAAACTTGCCTAACGCAGCAACGATATATAACTGGTAATTAAAAATATTTTTTCAACATTTTATCTCAGCTGACATAGTAGATAGTAAAAATCGCGCGCACTTACATACCCAAACACAAAGAATGTTTTGACCAAATATAGTTTTGTAAACAAATATATATATATATATATATATATATATATATATATATATATATATATATATATATATATATATATATATATATATATATATGTCTGTCGGTCAGATCGATAGCTGCATATTTTACTCTTATCATACGTCTTTCTTTTTTTAACGAACAGCGACTGAATTCTGCAAAGGAATAGACATAGACCAGGTTCAGTTGAACGGACAAACCTGGTGTATCAAATACGACAAGCGTTTACGAACATTTGACAGAGCAAATGCAGAATGTAACAAGTTTACCGGCGGGCCGAACAATTCGCTTCGTGGACATCTTGTAGAGATCTTTAGCCAGGAAGACAATCATGTTATTAGAAGTAAGTTTTTTTGTTTTTTATAATTACTAGCTGCATACCCGTGCTACGAAGCTATTTTTTTTTAATGTACTAACTTGGGAACAGAACATAACTAAATGCAAAAAACAAACGCAAACGCAAACACAAACGCAAACACAAACGCAAACACAAACGCAAACACAAACGCAAAAACACAAACGCAAACGCAAACACAAACGCAAACGCAAACACAAACGCAAACGCAAACACAAACGCAAACACAAACACAAACACAAACGCAAACGCAAACGCAAATGCAAACACAAACGCAAACACAAACGCAAACACAAACGCAAATACAAACGCAAAGATAAACGCAAACACAAACACAAACGCAAACACAAACGCAAATACAAACACAAACATAAACGCAAACACAAGCGCAACCAAAAACGCAAACACAAACACACAGAAAGTGATAACGAGTCTGTTTAATTTTTCCATTGAGTCGAGTTATCCGTTTGTTCTTTCACATCGCAAGCTATGTCTTATGTTGAGCGACCATATCCACTTGTAATTTCACTTTGTTGTCAAGAACTATTGTCGCGTAGGTCTATGAAACGGATGTTAATGTCGCAGAGTTATGTCCAATGAATAGACGTCAAAGGTAGGAAACGGATAGGGAAATTGTGACATGCATAGATTGAGACGGCGTGGCTAAGTGTTGGTCAGCTTACCCGAAAGTCCAGGGTTTGAATCCGGGTTGAAGTAAATAAAACACCATTAGGTACACCCTTCTGTTATGGGTACCTAACACGTTTGGAAAACTACAGGCATCTGTGAAGTGGTGACCGCATATTTCTTAGTCGAGTTTATAGAAACAGGGGAACAATGGGGCCTACTGCACTTGTGCCATTGACCATAAGGTTCAAAAATAGAACTTGATGATCGTAATCATTATTAAATCACACTTTAAAATGATCACGGTATATGTTATGTGATAATAATTATTAAATAATCATACTTTGAAATAACTACTTCATATGTTATATGATATAAATTATTATTTAATCGTAATTTGAAATAAATACCATTTAATATATGGTAATATTTATTATTTAATATTATTTTGAAATATATATAAATATATATATATATATATATATCTATATATATCTATATATATATATATATATATATATATATATATATATATATATATATATATATATATATATATATATATATATACATATAGCTATATTATGATGATAATAATTATTATTAAATCACACTTTTGAAATAACTACGCCAGGTTTTATACACAAGCAAAAGAAAAAAGATCCGTTAAGTGGTCCTGAATTTAGAGCGTTCATCGGACTTTACCATAAAAATAACACATACAAATGGGTCAACTCAACTCAGGTAATTTTTACATTAATGTATTAATTGACCTATTCTTTTGAAAATCAATAAGAGCCCTGATTTGTAGATACACCTCTCTACCCGGCTCTGTATTGAGCAGCTCTCTCCATTTAACCAGCTCTTTCTTCTCATTTTATTGTTCTTAGTCTTAGTTAGAAAGTTTGTCAGACTTCAATAAGGGCTTCACTTGTATGCATATTTGGTTATCCTGAAGAGAAACTAACTCGAATGAGATGGCATTGGGTTGGTGTATTTTCAGTTTCTGTAGATTGTGTATTTTTACGAGGCATAAACTGTTTATGGGCTAGTATGCATATTTGGTTATCCTAAAGAGAAACTAACTCGAATAAGATGGCATTGGGTTGGTGTAATTTCAATTTCTGTAGATTGGGTATTTTTACGAGGTATAAACTGTGGGTTGTTTTATTTTAAGAAAATAAAACAATAAAGAGGTAGTTAAAACGCGGTAGAATCTGACCAGTCTGGTAAGGCTAGTAGATAAACTGTCTGACAGTTTGTTTGCTATTTCTTGAACGCGGTAGAAGAAAGAAAATAATGAACTAAATTAGCTCATGGTAGCTAAATCGAAAAGTCTCGAGTTCGAAACCTCGGGCATATGAGACTCGACAGCCTCTTCTAAGAGAGAAAACTTCAATATCAAACAACTGCATCCTTTGTAATATGTGCTATGAAGGACAAAGGCTATGGAAGCAAATCAAATAAACCGGGAGTGATCTCCCCTAAACTTTCTCGAATATTCATATATATATAAAGCTCAGTTCTGTATGTAACGCATGTTTGTCCTTGGTCTTGCATGGATTTAAGTGTTGGAATATTATCGTGCGCATTTGTCTAAATTTATGAGTTAAAAATTAATACTGAAAGTTTTGGGAAATAATTTTCATTTATCAAACTGAATGTAATAATTTTCTGCATGTTCATTAAACAAAAGTTTTAAAAAAATATCATCTTTTACAAAAATTCAAATTATGTCTTTATTTAGTCCTATAGCACTTACTTCCCTTTGATAAATTAGGAAAAACACAATTACTTCCCTTTATAAAACATTGCAAATCCTGGAAAAGAATTTACTTTTTATTACTTTGTTTTCGTGTTGGGAAAAAAATAATTACACAATTAGCGGGGATTGATCAAGTGCAAATGTTGTAGGTATTTTACGGATAAGCTTGGAGTATTATAATTGTTCATCAAATTGAAATAGGCGCGTTCGTTTAAGTGAGTGCAAAAGACTATGAATAAGTTGGGGTACTATCGTCGTTCATTAAGCTAAAACAGGTGATTCCGCCCCGGGCGTTTATGTTCGCGTTAGTGTTTTCTTTGTGTTTAGGTGGGTTTGCGTTAGTGGTTGCGTTTTGATTTGGTTCGTTTTTGTTCTTTCTTTTTTCGTTTTTGTTTGTGTTTTTTTCTTTGGGTTTGTATTTGTGTTTTTGGTTGGTTTTGCGTTTGGATTTGGTTTGTTTTCGTTTGCTTTTTCGTTTTTTTTTGTTGGTATTGGTGTTTGTGGTTGGGTTTGTTGTTAGGTTTTTGTTTTCGTTTGCTTTTTTGTTTGTTTTTTCTTTGTGTTTGTATTGGTGTTTGTGGTTGTGGTTGGGTTTGTTGTTAGGTTTTTGTTTTCGTTTGTATTTGTAATTGTGTTAGCGTTATGTTTGCGTTTTGTTGTTTTGGTTTTGGTTGGTTGTGGTTTGGGTGGGCAATGCCGGGTTTATGATGATTACTAAACACACAGGTGATGGTCTTTAACAGCAAGGTTTTTCACAGAAGCCAGAGCAGGGCCTGGCCGGGACGGCTAGTATTCTTATATAGCTTGAAATATAGACATGATTTTTAATTACTTAAACTTTTAAAAATAGAATATAATCTCATAGAAAAAAGGATTGCGCACCAAGCGGACGGCAAAACAAAATGTGCATAATAGTGCGCAATATTATTAGTACTTTATACATTTACATGCGATTTTTGAGAAATCGAAAATAGCGTAAATTAGTACTTCCGGTCAACGGAAATTACTCAAAATTTGAAAGAAGGTAGAGAATTAGATCTTTTACTTATATGTGAAATAACATTTATCTATCTGAAATAGTACTCAAGTTATAGGCTTTTAAAAAATTCAAAGTAGAAAAAGTACCACTTCCGGTTATCGGAAATCGCTCAAAAGTTGATCAGTATCTACGTTTTGATAAACTACTTATATATGACATTTCAACAACCTAGCAGTAACGGTACTCAAGTTATCGTGTTTACACACAGACAGACAGACAGACAGACACACAGACATACGGACAAGATTGCAAAATTATGTTTTTCCGTATCAGTGAGGTAAAACGTCGAGATTTGTAAAAATCTCGATTTTTTTTTGTGCACGATTAAAAGACTTTCTCTGTACGAGAAAGTAAAAAAAAAGGCAGGCTGAAATTGGAGCCAACGGCCTACATTTATTAAATGAATTTATTAAAACAAAATATCAGGCATTTAATAATAAAACAATTGCCTATTGGCATTAACCAAATACAATTGAGTATTACAGTGGTAATTTCCTTAACAAATACAGTTTTGAGAGACAGAAAACTTAAAAAAAAACAATTACATAACCAGTTCAATTACAAAACCCAAATCCTCCCTCATACTTCTATTATATGGGACAGAGTGGTCTAGCGGTAGAGACTGCTAACCCGTAAGTCTCGAGGTCAAGTCAGTCCCTGAGTCCACCCAACGTTAGGGAGAGTAAAGGCGGCTGAGCATAGTGCTGACCACACTATCTATTCATATGCTGAGGTCACAGAAACAAGTGAACTCTACTTCACTTGCCTTATAGACCGTTACTTTTGAACGGGAAACTTACCTCTATTATGGTCACATTGATGACGAAACCATTATTAAGCTAATGAATATGGTAATTATAGCATAAAATCAATTCTCGCTCCTTGTTTATATTGGACATTTTTACAAACTCAGATTATATTAATAACATGTTATATTTTACAACCTTTCTCTTGTTGACTTTCTCTGTTTGCCTTTTTTTAACTAGGAGCCAACATATTTTGATGCGGGTGATCCAAGTTACTCAGGTTCGGTAAGTAGGCCTATACATGAATATTGTGTTCTAATATTGTCCCTTAGTTTCCACTTTCGTTTTCAGTGGTAATTGTGTAACCCCTGGATAATGGGTATTTCATAATCAGCAACATGTTATAAAATATAACACATAATATCAGACGTTATACGCGACAAATTTTGCATTATATTATTTAAAGAAATTAGTGAGTTCTTAATTACAGCCTATATTTTTGTATTCAAGATGATATTCTAAAAGTGTTAGAACTATGTTAAGACACTGTTGATTATTTTAGCCGGGGAAGGCACTCAGTTATTCCAACCTCGAGATTGTTTTAAATCAAACAATTTAATTTAAAAAAAAAATGAATTAAATATTTGTTTTCAATGTGTTTAGATTAAATAACATATTTCCTTACTAATACTGTTTCTATTTCAGAGGCTAAAAGTGGTAAGATGAGCATGTATTAACTGAAGCCAGATGTAAAGAATATACTTATACCCATATAATATATAACATACCTAGAGCCAGCCCAATATAAAACGTGTTATATTTCGAGCCTGCAATATATTATCATTGTATCCTCTACTTTCTTCATTTATACATTGACATATCTAGAGACTGCCATATCTACATGTCTTATCTAAAGTCGGTCATATCCAGAGCCAATCATATCTAGAGTCTGCAATATCTAGAGTCTGTCTTATCTAAATCTTGTCATATCTATAGCCTGTCACATCTAGAGCCTGCTATATCTAGAGTAAGTCTTATATAAAACCTATCATATCTAGAGCCTCTCATATCTAGAACCTGTCTTATTTAAAACGTGTCATATCTAAAGCCTCCATATCTAAAGCCTGCAATATCCTGACTCTGTCTTATCTAAAACCTATCTTATCTAAAGTCTTGTCATAGTAAAACCTGTGTTATTTAAATCCCGTCATATATAAAGTCTGCCATATCTAGTGTCTGCTATACTTAGAGCCTTAGCTAAAACCTGTCATTTTTAGTTTATCACACCTTTCCACTCTCTTCTTAAGCCTATCACCTTCCATGACTGATCACATTTGTAATCTGCCTTGTCGGGTCGTGTATAATATATCAGTCTAGTACCTTCCTTATGTATAGAACCTATAATATATACAACCTGCCATATATAGAACTTTAGTAGAGCATGCTATTAGTAGAACCTGACATATAGAATCTGGCAATATATAACCTGCCATTAGTATAACCTGCTTATATAGATCTTACAGTATATACAACCTGCCATATATAAAACAAGTCAATATATAACCTGCCATTAGTATAACCTGCTTATATAGATCTTACAGTATATACAACCTGCCATATATAAAACAAGTCAATATATAACCTGCCATTAGTATAACCTGCTTATATAGATCTTACAGTATATACAACATACCATATATAAAACAAGTCAATATATAACCTGCCATTAAGATAACAATGCTTATATAGAGCCTACAATATATACAACCTGCCATATATAAAACATGTCAGTATATAACCTGCCTGTAGTAGAGCATTCCATTAGTAGAATCTTCCATATATAGAACCTGCCATATATAGAACCTGCCATATATAAAACCTGTCAATATATAACCTGCCATTAGTAGAATCTGCCGTATATAGGGACTACTATAAATAAACCTGCAACAATTATATTATTACAGAAACTTCTATATAAAAAACTTGGCATTTATGCAAACTCCCATTAGGAGACCCTGACATATTATTATTTAGACCCAGGCCAAACATTGCATCTCAACCAATACAAAAATACTCAATACATAACTTGAACACTATTGAACTAATTTCTCGTCCCTGTTGCCTCATACAACACACCACATCTTTAATGTACGATTAATTCTTCAGGACGAATCTATGCCAACAGATGGAATTAATAAGGGCAGTGATTGGCAACCAGATGGCCCAGTTGTAATTACTGAAACTGATTGGAAAATTTATGACACAAACTCTACGACTTTTGTCTGTCAAGTTCCCCCCAGTAAGTTTAATACAGATTTAAATAGAAATAATACTTTTTTTCGACAGTAATCGTTCAAAAATAAACTAATTATAAAAAAACATATATATATATATATATATATATATATATATATATATATATATATATATATATATATATATATATATATATATTTACATAATTATGCTTAGATGGGATCCGAACGCTTGCTTGAATGTCGTTTTCCCAAATGGACATCTGACCAAATTTGAGCATTTGTCGCATTTAGAAAATCGTCCATTCTGGCTATGTGCCGTATTCGTTCAATTCTCACTTCGATATTTGCCTCAATCTCATTTAGATATATTTTATTTTGTACATGTACGCTTATATATACAATACATTTAACACATATTTTATAACCTAGATACCTCGATGAGCATTGCCTGCACGGATAAGGAAGAAGGCAGCTCAGGAACACTTTTTGAAGCGACACTTACTAGTCCTGACATTCTTAACTTCCGTCAACAAGATCTGTCACAAAACGGAAGAATAATCGTAGTTAGAAGAAACGGGCATGTTATCCGTGATAACTTAACGGTAAACAAAGACACAGTAACAGTGAAGGTAATGTGTGATAAGTGTAGCCTTGCCGATGAAGGACGTTATGTGATCAATGTATCAACTGTATTTAGGTGGAACAATTTTGAGGAAACGTGTGATCTGACGGTTTATCGTGAGTGCAACATTTTTTTCTTTCTGTGTTGTCGTGAATTTGTTCTATACGACATGTTATAATCTGTTATATGTGATAGCTTTTATTATTCCACTAAGCGTTTCTTTCACGCTTCAATCCAAGATGGGGGGGGGGGGCTGTTCAGCCAATGGACATTTATAAAGTCCAGATGTGCATATCGATATTTAATTGAAAAGTAAAATGTTTCTTAATCCCTAGCATTTTAAGCTACATAATAAACACACAAGTCATGGTCCTTTACAGATATGTTTTTCACAGAGGCTAGAGCAGGGCCTGGCCGGAAAGGCTAGTTCTAATCTAAGCTAGTTTTGAAACCAAAATATGTGCTAACTTTAAAGTCATTTTATGGTTATTAAAAACAAAGCTAAAACATTTGCATATAATTAACTGTTATTAAACAACTGTTAACCTTGAAGCCGTGATTTCAGATCCCGGGTTCAAGGCCGTCAGATGTCCCTGAGTCCACCCAGCCCTAATGGGTACCTGACTAACGTTAGGGAAACATAGGCTGTTGAGCACATTGCTGACCACTATATCCCCATGTATGCCAAGGTGAAACGGATGGACTCTACCTGGTTAACCCCATGTGTCTCGAGCACTATTGTGAACACGAGGACACTCCTTTTTAACACGTTTTTCTTAACTCAGCTTCGCGTTTGTTTGTTTGGATGTTTGTTGTTAAAATTGACATCGAAAATTAGCCCACTTCTGATTGCTCTAGAGATCTGAAATTTGGCATGTAGGCTACTTTCGCCTAACAATTTTAGATGCAATCATAAAAACTAGCAATTAGAGACCGTAATTAGCTTAATTTAATTACGCCCCAAGGACCATAAAATTGAGGACATGATTTCTAAAGATACCGACAAGACTGGAGGCCTATTGACACAGTTACTTCGGCCCCAATCGATGTTTTTTGTCATCAAATGTATGAAAATTTATTTTCTACTTTTTAGTCCACAAGAAAAACGTGGTTTTTTTTAAAAGTTTTTTTTAAGTATTTTATACTGGTGATCCAGTGTGTTGCAACATATAAGACGAACAATCACAAAATGGTCACAAAACACAAGACTGAACAAAACAAAGGCTCATCAATACTAAAATAGTGTAATACTAACTAAGCTATCAACACAACACAGACTATTCTAAATAGAAATACATACGCTGGTACATAAACTAAGATATACTTGTTAAATTAAAGTACACAGAAATAGCCTACCCTAGGCTTGTAGAAGAACTGGACTTAACTGAGGCAATCAAACACATTCTCACTCACTTTATATACATGTACACAAACATGTACAAACATCACTGGTACAACTCACCGTACGATGATTGAACAGGGACAGGGTACAACGTACAAACAACATTCAGCCCCATTTATCCCCCTTCGCTCATTCACAACAAGTACGAACGGGAAAAGATGATTTTTTTATGTTTAGGTTAATCTCGCTAATCCAGCTCTTAACATTCCAGCTAGGAAGCAATGCCCGGCTGATCTGAGTTAAGTTAATCCCGCTAATCCGGCTCTTAACATTCCAGCTAGGAAGCAATGCCCGACTGATCTGAGAGCGACTAACATTTCCTTTGAAACGGCCACGCTGACCTGGTCTCAAGCAATCAGTCACGGCAAAACGATGCGATACAACATAGAGCTGCGGTCAATTCACGGACAACTCGTCAATAATTGGACAGTGAATTCGGCGAGCAATTCACTCATCTCACATCAGATTATGTCCCTTGAGTCGGACACGTCCTACCTTGTGTCTGTCTACCCAACGAACATTTTTGGTGCTTTGAACTGTACACCAGTGAAATTAAGAACAGGTAAGCGTTGATGATAAGTATATGTCTTATTATTAAATAGTTAAGCAAGAGCTATTTATAAGACAACTAATTAATGTATTATTAAAAACGATTTAATCAATGTTATGTCCGGGTTTAGTTCAATTCAGAAAACAATCTTGACAATCTTTACTACTTTATTTTGTCTCAACTCTCCAAATTACAGAGTAGCCCTCGCTTTAACTACCAATTAACCCCTTTACAATCGTTCACTCAAACTTTTATACAGCATTCGACCTTGGGATAACAATACATAAGCACACCGGGGTTAACTATAATCTAGGGTAAACTCAACTCACACACACAATCTCCCCTAGTTCTAGATTATTCTAGCTTATTTCTATTTAAACTATTACTGACCCGTAACAACCAACAAGTAGAATTACAAACCATAGGTTATCAATAAAGTATCCTCAAGAAATACGCAAAAATAAACATTTGCGTCAATATTATCACCTGCGCACGAAATTTTCTATGCGTACAATTTTCGACGAATAATATTTACTTTAATTGTGGCTTATTCGAGAGTAATGATGGCTTCTTTTGCTGAAAATATTAATTTGTAACCTTTATCGTTATGTTTAACACTTGATATGTCCACAATAGTAGAATCTTCATTAAGTGAGGGGGTTAGGTTAGCGTTAACTGTAAACTAATACACTTTTCAAATATCAATGCTAAATATACAGAAACCCAATTTCTAATTATAACCGTGGTCATTTTTTGGGCCTTAGCAGTAGATCTCATAGTTAAGTACTTCTAAAATGTAGCACATCTTTTTTTCGGAAATATGCATCGTATTACAATGGTATTGGGAGTGCTCCTAAAATCAATAACTGATTTATATTTTTTGAGTCGTAAGAAATGTAAACATTGAAATAAATACATTTATGACGAGTTGCGATTTTAATGAGCGGCGCTCAGACTGACCATGAAGGAAATTGTTTCATTTTTTTCTCGAAGACAACAAAAATAGACTTTCGGAAGTGAACGTCGACCGTTTGGAAACCAGCCTTGCAAACTATGTAAGTAGTTCTGTTTATGTTTGTTATTTTTTTTAACACAAAACAATAACTGAAATAAACGTAAATGTTATTTGAAACATATTAAGTCGGTTCTTAGCTAAATATTGGCAAATCTTTAAAAAAAAAAGATTCTTCACATATTTAAAGACTTTATTCTAGAATTCAATCCATTTAGCTTTTTTTTTTTCCTAGAACACTTGATAAAAAAAAAACCACGATCACGCAACAAGTGAATGTTTTTATTTTAGACATTGGAGAAGCTAACAAACTCTAGCACCGATTTGTCGTTCGTGGTTAATTCAAAGGCAGATGACGTCATTAACCAGACAATTAACAGGAAGATTATGTCATCTGGGGTCAGGCTTCTTGTTCAATTTATAAGCACAACGTCACAAGCGGTGAAGGCATCGAAAACAGGTGTAGATGAGACAATGTTACAGGTAAGATGGGAGCGTCTAGCATTACAGGTGTGTTAACTATAAAGTAGACGTTACCAATATCATGCTGGGGGATAAGTATAACATTTAATATACACATCACGGGATAGTTCATTATTGTAGGGGAGATTGGTATACGATATATACATTAAATATCACAGTAGTAGGTGTGAAAGATATACAATTATATGCTCTTACCAACAAGTCTAGGTTATTGTTGTAGGTGTGGTACATATAAAATATATCCTTTATATAGTATGCCAGACTGCTATTAATGGCTTTTATACGTATAATGGGAGTTGCTGTTGAATGGTAGAGTGTCTGACTGCTAACCCGCAAGTCTCGAGTCAGGAACACGGGTTTAAGTCCGTATGTCGTCCCTGAGTCTGACTAACGTCAGGTAAAGGCGACTGGCCGTAGTGTTGACAACACTATGCCTTCATTCGCCGAGGTTACTAAAAAAGTTGAACTCTACTTTACTTGCCGTACGGTTAGAAAATATTCATTTATATGTATATGGTGTACCCTATCTATCGGTCTTGTTTATTATTATAGGGTTGATTGAGTCTTACATTAGTATCGCTTGTTGTAAAAGTCATTAGTAACAACAGTACGAACTTAGCACAAAACTTAAACATGACCAGCAGCCTTTCAATTCCCCAAATAAAATTACACAGTGAACAGACATCAGAATGTAGTAGATTTAGATTAGTTCTATAGATGTAAAAAAAAAACAAAAAAAAATACACTTGAATAAACTATTGTGCGAGGTAGCTCAGTGCTAATATATATATATATATATATATATATATATATATATATATATATATATATATATATATATATATATATATATATATATATATATATATATATATATATATATATATATATATATATATATATATATATATATATATATATATATATATATATATATATATATATATATATATAATTCTCTTCTTGGAGACCATAGAAAACACCAAGCTGTAAGCGCGTCTTCTAGCAGCCCCCTCTCTTCCTCTCTAGGCATATCGCCACCACACCCTCCCCCACATAGCCTGGTGAGCTGTGGTTCACGCTAAATGCTTACAATCTTAGAGACGGTTTTAGTGACGGCTATTAGGGGCCAATAATATAGTTTGAAACGATTTTAAACTTAGGGGAGGTAACTAAGAGGAGGCTGCTTTCACCGGGGGGGGGTAGAGGTTGGGGGAAAGGATGGTTGTAGTGTTTTAAAGCAAATATTTTCAGTGGCAGCATTCAAATTATGGGTCGGCTCGTACTTTTTAAAAGATAGAGAAATCGGAAGAAAATATAAAATGTATCCAGTGTAGGCCAATAAAGTAAAGTAAAAGTAAAGTTTCCTGTCTAAACCTGGTGGTCTACGAGGCAAGTGAAGTAAAGTTCACCTTTTTATGTGCCGTTTGTATTTGAAGTGATAGTTTGGTCAGCACTATGCGAAGCCGCCTTTACTTTCCCTAACGTGAGTCAGGTACCCATCAGAGCTGGGTGGACTCAAGGACGGTCTACTTGCTTGAACCTGGAATGGAACTCGAGACTTTCGGGTAAGTTGTCTAGCTCTCTACCACTAGACCATTCCGTCTGTACAAAGTGTTACAGCAAAAAGTTTTAAAAGTTCTATTCCCCATCACCAAAATGCTTCAACAGAAATTAGCCACAGTGACGGACATAAGCCTGAAAGCTGAACCAGCCGAGTGGGTCAGCCATGATGGTGAACAGACAGCCACTCAGCTATTGGTCGGGATGGAAAACATGGCGAAAGCCGCAATGAACCGAAATATTGATACATTTATTGTGAGGGACTCTTTAGGTTTGTATAATGGGTTAAATAGAGAAAGTAATTACTCTATTTATAAAGTATAAGAAAATACAGAAAAAAATATTGCTGAATTTAGTACTTCTTTACTTTTGTATTCAGTTGTTATAATCTTTTCCAAACAACTGAAAATGTTTCTATAGCTATATATAGCTCTCTCTCTTTCTTTATATATGTATATATATATATATATATATATATATATATATATATATATATATATATATATATATATATATATATATATATAGTGAGGATTATAACTAAATAACCTATCACTAAATTTGCCAATAGCGTAAACGACTTATGTATACATAAATAAAAAAAAATAGTTTACATTCTGTTTTACAGTGATAAAAATCAACGAATCAAACACAGACATCCGCTTCCCCGAAGAGGAAGACGTGAAGACCACTAGCTCAAGCATGGGCCACAATTTCTGGTTGTCTCAGTCCAGGAACAGCTTGTTTCTTCCACATAATGCCATTGCAGGCAGCACTGGTAAGCTGGCCATTTGCTCAACACTGGGCACAAATTTGTTGGTGATATATTATAGAAATGTCTACTTTGTATCAATATATATATATATATATATATATATATATATATATATATATATATATATATATATATATATATATATATATATATATATATATATAGCCGTATATAAATGTAAATATACATATAGCATATATATATATATATATAATATAACAAATGCTACATCTTGTTTTTAACAAATATTACAGTTTACTAAAGTTAGCCTATTAATAATTTTTATTATACTTTAAAATAAAATTCATTGTTTCTGATCACTTAATCACGGTTTTCAACATTAGGTCAGCGTTAAAGATGCTAAAATACTAAATAATAACCTCACAGCATACCCACATCAACACAGTATTCGACTGCTTAATCCGTAATTAAATACTACTGAGAACATTATCAACACCTCGTTTACGTCTCATTTTGCACATGCATATATACAATAAAAATTGATCTATTAATTACATCTTTATTCATACGTTGCGTTAAAACATTACCATGAATTCTGCTCATTAGGACCAAAGAGCTATTCTGTAATTGTCTACAACGACATCGCCAACAAAATTAAAGTGGATCCAGACAAGCAGAGAGAGTAAGATCAAATTGTAACTTTTAGTAACATAAATCTATCTTGTTAAGTTTACTATAAACGTGAAGCCAATTTTTTTATCAAGTTTTACATTTTGTATCTTACTTTACAAATATATGTTGGCTTTGCAACACTATATTTTACCAATACTACAAATCAATAGTTGAAATTTTAGTTCAGTTTAAGTTTTACTAAGTAAAGATCACAAACTCGCATTGAAATTGAATTATCTTACTGAATATCTAATTAACTTAATTACTTTTTAAAAAAAATATATTATTTTTCAATTTGCAAATAATAGAGTAGTAAAAAAAAAGTATTTCATATCAAGTAGTGCTGATTTTGGGGAAAGGATGGATTATGAAATGGATCCCTTTATGGCTTTTATTTATAAATACATTTTATTGATAATTTTATTTAATTCTTACTGATATTGTTTTAAAATGTAATTATACAAACATTTTTTTTTTCATCTTAGGAGTAATGAAGGGAAGGAACTCTACGAGAAAGAAATAGTTTCTGACGTTACTTCTTTTTCTATTAGAGGATTCAACGGGACTTTTGCCATACCGCTACAAATGAATTTCTCCATCAATGCTGTGAGGTTTACCCCATTACTAAACATCTAGTAGACACATAGATAGATAGTTAGTTGTACTTTTCCTTTCGAAAACGTTCATTGTGAAAGTTAACTAGAGTTGGCCTGTCTCTGCGACCTCGGCATATAAAGGAATGGTGTGATTACGTTAACTTTTAGAAAACCGTGACCTGAATAAAACAAATAGAACTGTGTAGTAGTTATTCAGTTCAATGTTACAGGTGGGGTGTAGCACTTTAGTCTATCAGGGTCGACGGAAGTTGTGTAAAACAGAACAATTAATGCATGCAGTTGCTCTAAGACTTTACATTGCAAAGTTGTCGCAGATGGATGTTAGTGTTGGAACAATACGACTTGATTAGGATGATAACAGTCATTTACATTATGGAATAAACTTAATACATTGTTCAAATCCGGGTTCATTCAGTAGAACGTCACTGAGTCCACCCAACTCGGATGTGTACCTAACTCGCGTTAGGGAAGTAAAAGCGGCTGGGTAAAGTGCTAACTACATATTAACTCTACTTCATCTGCCGAATGGATAATCAGGTCTTAATAGGATTTATTCATGTTTTTTTTTCCTTTTATCTCTAAACTGTACAGTCCAATCACAGAAACCCTTCGTGTGCATTTCTCGACACATTAGTCAGGTGAGTTGTACTATACCTACACAACCTATTGATTAGCATGCATGGTTATCATTATTCAATACACGCATGTGATATACTTGCTAATGTTATACATTGTATCAGTGGTCAAGGCGTCTGGTCAACCAGAGGGTGTCACGTGATCTACGCTGACCAGGAGCGCGTCACGTGTGGGTTCAACCACACCACCAACTTCGCTGTTTTGATGAGCCCGTACGCCGCCGTGGTAAGTTCCGAGTGATCTATCTTGCTTAGAGATTCTTTCAGGCATCTCTTTATTGGGAGATCTCCTGTAGTATATCTACCACCATCACAACGAAGCATAATGTATACATAATATGTACTTCCCTACCCCGGAAATTTAACAACCAGAGGCGTAGCGACGGGGGGTGGGGGACGACGACGGTGACGGGGTTACATATGTACCCGGGACCGATCCTACGGGCCCCAAAATAAGCTCATTTTAGCTGCTATTTTGAATTATAAATTTAAAAATAAATATGAGGCGGGGAAGGCAAATTGAAAGTTTGTCCCCGGGCGCCGGGAGGGGTCGCTACGCCTCTGTTAACCCTTCCCCCCCCTCAAAGTTTAAGTGTCACATTAGAGCATTGTTATAATATAACATGCCGTGTTATGACAAAGCAATGTCACATCTCGGGGTAGTTCTATGACTACACAACTTACACAAGAGCTATTGTCTACCCATTAAGATCACAGCTTCGTCGCACGGCCTTTTTCTTAAATTAACCAAAATAATGTTATCTAATAACATAAATATATAACACAGTATTGCTCTGTTTCTGTACTTAACCAAGTATATTATCTTCTGGCATTCATATAGTACTGTAGGTAACATGATGCGACATTGCCTTCTGGCATACATATAGCACTTTGTTGTTCTGTTACTGTAGTTAACATAATACTACATAACCTTCTGGTATACATAAAATACTATGTTATTGTCCATACAGCATCAACACAACTACGTCCTTGATTTAATCTCCAAGCTATGTTGTGCCATCTCCATCTTTTTTCTGGCAACTACAGTTATCATCTACGCCATTCTATGGAGGTAGGTCACTCAAATATATATATATATATATATATATATATATATATATATATATATATATATATATACATATACATATACATATATATATATATATATATATATATATATATATATATATATATATATATATATATATATATATATATACTTATATATATATATGTATTTTTTATTTATTTATGTATTTATGTATTTTTAATTTTGTTAATATTTCGTGCAATAAATATAAACATATATAAATATGTACAAGTACATACATGGCCGTTACCATAGATACGTAAAGAGTGACCGGGCTATCCTCTACGTCAACTTGTCTGTGTTCCTGGCACTCGGGTATATCGTGTTTCTAGTGGGAGTTACCAAGACGGAAAACAAAGTAAGTCTTGGTTTGGATGCTTCTTCTTACTTTATTTCGCAAATTTCTACAAATATATGGTTTTGATTTGATTTGATGTTTTTAACCTTTCTTAATCTTGTTTTAATAAATAGGCATAATACCTTTCTTTACTTGAAATATATGCACATTTATTTATCTATACCAACGTAATTGGAATTTTGTTTTAAAATAAAGTCATTAGTAGTCGATAAAACATAAAACATTTTAAAAACATGTACAAATTTAGGCTTGAAATGGTCTTGAAAAGCTGTTTCCCAATGGTTCTATTTTTGTTTTAGCCAGAAAGCATATTTTTCAACAAAAATTGGATATGTTATAACTTTTGTGTAATAAGTTAAATATTACTTTCTGGTTAAGGCAAGAAATAGTCGAATAAATAATTACTAGTAATCTATAATAATAGTTTCGCTGTCTCTCTATCTATCTATCTATCTATCTATCTGTCTGACAAGAACGCTCTAGAGAAAACACAAGGAATTTAAAAACCGGCACAGTAATTCGAAAAACGAAATATGACGTCGACACATTTAGCGTAGAGTAGAACATAATCTCAAACCAGAGAGTGCACACAGTAATGTAATGACGTCATTGAAACATTGAAAAAAAGGAAATGTTGTCTAATCTAAATGGTTTGCGTGAAGTGTTTCTTGCATACAATTCTTCGGGTAGGGGCGAAGCCCCACCCCCGCGTAAGAACGTCTGAGGGGGGTGGGGGTGGGGGGGGGTTGAGTGGGGGGGTGGTTTTAATTTAGACTTTTTCCTCCCCGGAGAGGGGTGGGGGTACTTGAAATTTTCGGGGGCGGGGGTAGAATTTTCGGGGAGGGGCGGACACTGGAAAAAGTATATAATTATATTTCGTTGAATGGGACGGTAGAGATGTTTTTTTAGGGGGGGGGGGGGGTTGTGGGTGGGGGGAGGGGGGGGGGGTGTGTGGGGGGGGATGGGGGGTGAGTGTGGGGGGGGGTGGTTTTAATTTAGACTTTTTCCTCCCCGGAGAGGGGTGGGGGTACTTGAAATTTTCGGGGGCGGGGGTAGAATTTTCGGGGAGGGGGCGGACACTGGAAAAAGTATATAATTATATTTTGTTAAATGGGACGGTAGACATGCTTTTTTTTGGGGGGTGGGGGGTGGGGGGGGGTGGTGGTGTGTGTGTGTGGGGGGGGGTGGGGGTGAGTGGGGGGGTGGTTTTAATTTAGACTTTTTCCTCCCCGGAGAGGGGTGAGGGTACTTGAAAATTTTGGGGGCGGGTGTAGAATTTTCGGGGAGGGGGCGGACACTGGAAAAAGTATATAATTATATTTCGTTGAATGGGACGGTAGACATGTTTTTTGGGGGGGGGGGGTGGGGGGTGGGGGGTGGTGTGTGTGTGGGGTGGTGTGTGTAGGGGTGGGGGGTGGGGGGGTGGTGTGGGGGGGGGTGGTGTGTGGGGGGGGGTGGGGGTTGGGGTGGTGTGGGTGGGGGTGTGGGTGGGGGTGGGGGTGGTGTGTGTGGGGGGGGTGGTTTTTGTTTAGAGAAAAGAGACAGCACTATCAACCTAGCGCCCGGTGTATCCTTCCTCAACGGGCCATTTTTCTCGTCTATAATAATAGTTTCGCTGTCTGTCTATCTGACAAGAACGCTCTGTCTGACAAGAACGCTCTGTCTGACAAGAACGCTCTAGAGAAAACACAAGCAAAATAAAAACATGCACAGTAATTCGAAAAACGAAATATGACGTCGACACATTTAGCGTAGAGTAGAACATAATCTCAAACCAGAGAGTGCACACAGTAAAATGACGTCATTGATTATCGCGTAAACATTGAAAAAAAGGAAATGTTGTCTAATCTAAATGGTTTGCGTGAAGAGTTTCTTGCATACAATTCTTCGGGTAGGGGCGAAGCCCCACCCCCCGCGTAAGAACGTCTGAGCCCCCCCCCCCCCCTCCACAACTCAAAAGAAATTTCCTCATCGATACTCTATAATAAAATTACCGCCTAATTAATGTGTCTAATCTAAAAAGTGGTTTTCTTGCAATGGGACGGTAGACATGTTTTTATTTGGGGGGGGGGGGGGGGTGGAGGGGTGGGTGTGGGGGGGGTGTGGGGGGGGTTGGGGTGGTGTGTGGGGGTGGGGGAGGTGGGGGGTGGGGGGTGGGTTGGTTTCAGTGTTTCTTTCAGACTTTTTCCTCCCCGGAGAGGGGTGGGGGTACTTGAAATTTTCGGGGGCGGGGGTAGAATTTTCTGGGAGGGGGCGGACACTGGAAAAAGTATATAATTATATTTCGTTGAATGGGACGGTAGACATGTTTTTTTTTGGGGGGGGGGGGGGGCGGTGTGTGGAGGGGGTGGTGTGTGGGGGTGAGGGGGTGGGGGTGGTGTGTGGTGGGGGGTGGGGGTGGGGTGGGGTGTGGGGTGGGGGGGGTGGGGGGTGTGTGGGGGGGTGGGTTGGTTTTAGTTTAGAGAAAAGAGACAGCACTATCAGCCTAGCGCCCGTTGTACCCTTCCTCAACGGGCCATTTTTCTCGTATAACAATAATTTAGAAAACAGTTTTATTTGTAATTTGGATTAGTAGAGTCATGGTGTTGTGGTGATGTTATATTATTTAATATAAATACAATACTAGGCTAAACATCAGAGTTCACTATTGTGTATTTTTATCATGGAAAACTATTGTTCTTACTTTTACTCTTTTACTCTCCTTGGCCATACTGGTTGACTTCAAAGAGAGGTTGAGGTCGGTTTTTGAAAATATTGAAATTGATGAAATAATTCTAAACGGATTTTCAAAGGCTTATATTCGATACAAAAAATAAATTTAAAAAATTAGTGTAATCGACGGTTCCCATATGGCTATACATTTTACAAAAATATATATAATTGTATACCTTGCCATAAGATTTTTTTTTTCAAAAATGTAATATGATTACATAGACTTGTTATGCCTATTGTGTGATTTAATTGATTCTTTCACTTTCAGCTGGTGTGTACGATAATTGCTGCGGTCCTACACTTCCTGTTTCTTGTTGTGTTTTTCTCCATGCTGGGTCAAGGTCTTGTCGTCCTCAAATGCGCCACTTCCGTTACGTCACGTTCTATTATTCGTCCTGTGCTAGCTTTAACCTACGGTAAGTTGTTTAACATCGTTACAAATTCATTACTGAACTTGACGGTATTTGTGCTGACATCTTACATAATGAGTTCTATAAATCTGAAATTTTGTTTAAAAAAAAATAACTTAAAAGTCAGTTTTGACAGCTCTGCAAGCATTTATATTAATAATCTCCACGTGAAAGTTTATAACTACAAGTCGTACTCATACACAATTATTATTATTTTAAATGTTTAATTATAATTGTTTTTATAACGATTCTCATTAAGGTAAAATCCAAATAGTATTTAGTTTTATATTGTAAATATAGTTTTTTATGGATAAATATATGTGTTTATTATGTGTATATAAATATGATTTTAATATGAGAGTATAAATATTAGCGTTTATTAGAGATATATAAATAAAGGTATTTATTAAGGATATGTTAATATAGGGGATTTTATGAATACGTAAAAATAAGTGTTTGAATATGCAAATATAGGTGTTTATTAGAGATGCAAATAACGTTTTTGTTATCCATATGTAAATATAGTTGTGTTATATATATGTAAATTTAGTACCTGTTAGGTCTGTGGTAACTAATAATTCTAAGGATCGCCCCCCCCCCCCCGTTGTTGTTTTGTTTTTTTAAATAACTGTGTCATTACCTAGTGGATATAATCTTATGTTTTATCTGTGTATCCCAACAGCTGGTCCTCTGGTTATAGTAGCAGTCTCTCTAGGGGTCACACAGGGTCAAGGATACGGCACGAACGACTAGTGAGTGTGTTATTGTGTTTATGATTTTATAACTCGTTAAAAAAACATTGTGTTATTTGTTTAATTTCACAATTAAATATTTTTGTAAGGATTATGATAAAATATACTGTTTTTTTTTTTTGCTTTTCAAAACTTTACTTTAAAATAAACATCTAAACGTATTTTTGTTCTTAGCTAGACTCAAATAAATACTTGTTTTATTTTTGTTGAGGATTCATTAGATTTAGATGAGCACTTTACTTATATGTCATACAAGTACTGAATCATTGATGATGATACACATTAAGCTTTAGCTGTCAATTAAAATTTGTTTTACATATAGACTTAGAAGAACATGTTACTTAAATGTGTAAGTCTAGATTTATGGTAAGTGTGGGATTTGATATAAGTAAGACATTAGCAACACACGTATACGCTAGTGAGGGTTAAGGTAATGAAAAACTATAAAATATCCCATTAAATATCCCAATCAAATATCCCATTAAATATCCCATCAGCTGCTGGTTGTCCATTGAGTCTGGTTTGTTTTGGGCATTTGCCGGACCAGCATCACTCATCATTCTCGTAAGTTTATTTTATTTTTATTTGATCAACCTTGTTTAGTTTAATCCTGGTCCAGGGGTAAAGCATGTTCGTGGTAACTGGAAAGTCGTGGGTTCGGTTTCCTGTTTGATTATCTTGTTGATTGACCAACAACCCCACCCATAACATCTATGCTTTACATTTGGTATAGCTACACACTCATCAAACCCGCCCCACAACCCCTTGTGGGTGAGAAAAAAAAACGGTGTAAAAAGTTAGTCGGTTAAGAACATGGGTGAAAAAAATTCGGAATCATTAACTAGCCTGATGTCAATTGCCCCCCCCCCCCCCACTCCCCCCACACTGCCAGCCTGTAATTCAGTTATGTCCCTTCCAGATAAATGACCGCTATTTAATTATCTATCTCCCTCTCCTTTGTATATTCATCATCATAATCATAATCTCTTAAAATGTGTTAAGGGCCAACGACCAAAACTCTAAAAAAAAAGGTCAATTACCTTTCTAATAAATATTGTTAGGTCAAAACGATATTAACTTAAACTTTTTAATCACAAAAAAAATATTGTTTTCCAGCTCAACTTTATTTTCGTGCTGATTGTTCTCAAAGCAATGCAGTCGTCACAATTTATGTCTAATAAAAACCTCACGGAGAGAACTAAGTAAGCGATATATATATATATATATATATATATATATATATATATATATATATATATATATATATATATATATATATATATATGTATATGTATATATATATATATATATATATATATATGTATATATATTTATATATATATATATGTATATGTATATATATATATATATATATATATATATATATATATATATATATATATATATATATATATATATATATATATATATATATATATATATATATATATATATATATACACATATATATATATATATATATATGGGGGTCGTCCATAAATGACGTCACACTCGTAAGGGGGGGGGTCCGTAATTTTGTGACGGTGTGTAATTAGGGGGGGGGTTTCAGGTGGTGTGACTTCACACTTTTGCGTCTAGGAAAACGGTTTTAATAACTTGTAATAGGAATTAATCAAAATACTCAATGTTGACAAAATTTTGGAAATTTTGAGGGGGGTTGTAGGCTGAAGTGTGACGTCATTTTAGGAGGGTCTGGCTTTTTGTGACGACTTGTGACGTATGGGAGGGGGGTTGACAATCGTCAAAAAAAATGTGACATCATTTATGGATGACCCCTGTATATCTCGAAACGTCCATTGTGCCTGTTAGTGTGTTATGTACGAAGTGTCTCAACCCAATGCACATTCTTTCAACTATGTGTTCATTCAGTGTGTGGTCTGCGGAGATGGGTATTTAAAAAAAATTACTTTATATGTATACAAGACAATACATGTTTGAATTGTATGGGTCATTGCATACCTTTAATTTGCGTTGACACATTCAAATAGAAGAAAATAGCATCATTATCTTCTCATACATCATTTCAAAAGTTAAAAAAAATATGTCACAGGTCAGTTGTCCGGTCCATCTGTATCTTGTCCCCAATCCTCGGCCTGTCCTGGGTGTTTGGTGTCTTGTCCATGACAGACCCCCACGTGATCTTCCAGTACCTGTTTGCTGTCACTAACGCACTGCAGGTTGGTGGCGTTGTTTTCTTATGTATATGGTAATGTAATTGTAGTACAGCATTATACCTATGTATACTTATATATATATATATATATATATATATATATATATATATATATATATATATATATATATATATATATATATATATATATATATATATATTGGTATTTCTAAGCCTTTTGAACTTACAATTAATTGTAAGCCAAAACTGTAAAAAAAAAACTACAATAAATTTAGGCTGCACAAGCGATTTATCACAGAAAAAAGACATTAAAAGTGGTCTAAAATGTACCACCTTATACATTCCATCCAGCTTGAAGACGTCGAGTTTTGATTTGGGTTCTGACTTGTGACTGTAGAAAGTTCCTAAATCTAATGAAGTTTAATTGGTAAGCCTACCTGCCTTACGTTGGGGAAAGAAAAGTAGAGGCATAATGCTAACAACGCAATCCCTTCATATACCGTGGCCGAGAGACATTACCTCTGCTGTATCTGCACGAGGGATCATTATGTCTAAAGATGAATAATTATCCAACGTTTATAGATTCATAGCTTTGATTTATCTCTCCTTTTCCGATGCATTATTATGTTGTGGAATAATGATTTCTATAAACTAGCCACTAAGAATAGAACAAAAACAATATACGAAGTAGAATCTGCACATATGCACTCTGTTAAAATAGTTAACTGTTAAAGTTTGCTTAAAATAAATTGACAAAGCAATATAACAATGCGACACGTTTCTTCGTTTTGAACTATCCTTTTTATTTCTTTCTATAACAATTTTATCCCTGGTTGCTAATTGATATACAACTATATTTCTCCTCAGGGTTTTTTTATATTTATCTTTCAATGTCTGCTTCAACACCAGGTATGAATACGTTTTGAAATTCATAGTACATTTCGCTTTTTATACAGATAAGTCAGATATAGTACACATTGTTTTATATATTCAAAACAACACCTGATTATAATATAATGTATTTTTCCCCAAAAAATTGCGAAACTTTTAGAAAAATGGTTAATCGAAATTTCAATGTCATTTCTTACTATACCGTACATTACCACTGAAGTAATTTGTACTATACATATGACAAATATTGCAGCCAAATAGTCAATTCCTATATTTATGCTATATTCCTCATTACTGTAGTGAATTAATTTTCTTCATAAATGTACATAAGAGTCAGCTTATAGTGAGTATTACACTAGTCAATATGTCGTAATTGAAATATAATATTCATTTCGATAGTTCAATATTGTACTGTGCAAGAATCATAGTCAAATAGACGATTACTTTTTTTAAAAGCATGTTTTGTATGTAATTCCCTCTGTCAAATGCTTAGGAAATAGATACTAAAGCGTTACTATACAGAGAGGTAAATGCTCCTTATTGTGTTTGTTTTGTTAATCTGCCCTGCAGGTAAAAGATGGCTTGAAGTCGATCAGACGAAGACACAGGGCTCATAGGTTAGACTCCAGCTTTCTCAACGGAACTTTTTCTGTCACACACGTAAGTAGGCAGTACTATATCTCATGTTCTCTGTCACACATGTAAGTAGGCAGGCCTATGTCTCATGTTCTGCATCATTCATGTAAGCAGGTAGACCTATGGCTCATGTTCTCCATCACTTATGTAAGTAGGCTCATGTTCTATATCGCTCATGTAAGTAGGTAAACATATGGCGCATGTTCTACATCATTCATGTAAGTAGGCAGACCTATGGCTCATGTTCTTAAGCGCTCATGTAAGTAAGGTCATGTTCCCCATCACTTATGCAAGTAGTCAGTGCTATGGCTCATGTTCTATATCGCTCATGTAAGTTTGTAAACATATGTCTCATGTTCTTCATCGCTCATGTAAGTAGTCAGACCTATGTCTCATGTCCTCTGTCACACATGTAAGTATTCAGACCAATGTCTCATGTTCTCTGTCACACATGTAAGTAGTCAGACCAATGTCTCATGTTCTCTGTCACACATGTAAGTAGTCAGACCAATGTCTCATGTTCTCTGTCACACATGTAAGTAGTCAGACCTATGTCTCATGTTCTCTGTCATACATGTAAGTAGTCAGACCTATGGCTCATGTTCTCCATCACTCAAATAAATAGGTAGTACTATGATTATTGAAAAATCGAATTTTAACCTCACAAATAACGTTACATTTTTCTCGCTACAGGTTATAAGAAAACCTAAACAATTAATATGTCACTTCTTTACTAAAGTATAACTTATTTATTTTGTACTAGCCTTCAACCACCACGACATCCAATGGCAAGTCTTTCACAAATTCTGCAACTACAAGTTATTGAAATTTTCGTTTAAAAGACGTTAACATCACGACCTATTGAGGAACAACCAAGCTTTGTTGCAATTGAAAAATTGAAAAGGCCTGAGAACATGTATAACAGCTAGTAATAATAAATTTATCTTGTATTTTTTAGAAAATGTTTGAGTTTAATTTACTTTTAAAACATTATTTTGTTTTTATTGTTGATTAATAGAAAAAGAAAATTAACTCTACCAATTGAATGTTTCTGTAGTTACATAATAATAAATATTACATTACCGTGTTATGAATATAAAAAAAATGAATTTTAATTGTGCGAAAAATTTAAACAACACAATAATTTTTTTTCTAGATTTTCGGTAATGGGAAGTGGCTCTTTCCTGTATCTCAAAAACTTTATATTGTGACGACCGTTTTAGTTAGGTTGACCAAAACGCACATTTTTCAAATGTGTATTTTTTTTTAACTTTTGAGCGATTTCCGGTAACCTTAAGTGTTAGTTATTCTCATTCTATTTTCTAAAAAAACAAATATCCCTTCTACCTGACCGATTTATCTCAAACGTTTCATATAGGTCAAGACTCAATGGTAATTTAAAAAAAACAACTAAAAAAACAACAACAAATGTTACTATTCTCTTAACACGGCTGTTGTATAGTATCATAATTAAACAACACACACACACGCACACGCACACACAAACGCATACACAAACATATACAGGCGTGCACAGACAGCTACACACGCACATATGAACACAAATACACAAAAAAGAAACACGTGCATTAGCACAAACACAAAGCCAGGCAGCATTTTATAGTCTGTGTAAAAAATGATATCAAATAAGAGCGTACTTTTTATAACAGAATGCTGATTTTCAGGTTTTGGTAATTTCATTTTCATTTTAATTTTTTTAATAAATAACTATCTTATATGTTTATATCAATCTGTTTTAGTACATGTAATATATAATAATATTATGTAATGTTTCTGAAGTTTTTGTTTTTATATTTCTTTCTTTTAACAGCATGTATAACCTTTTTTCATGCGCATTACGATTTTATCGTGTTCATATGTATATATTTGAATGGTGGAGCCAAGTTGACGAGAATCCTTCCATCATACTGTTGACAATGTTCAATAATGTTTTTTTTTTGTTTGTAATCAAAGCGACTTTAAATATAATAATAAATAAAAACTTAAACCTAAAAATAATTACGAAATTTAACAGTTGTTAGAATCAATGTTATCCAGAGAACTTAAACATATGTTTATGAGTTAAAGGCTACATTTCTATTTATTTTCATCAAGCTTAAATTATAACCCGATGTTTCACTTTCGTAAGACAAACATTGATTGGCTGTACAGAAACTCCGTGATCAAATTCTGACAGCCCCACATCTTCGTTTTTTGTTTATAAAACTTTGCAGACATAGTTTTAAAACAATAATGCAAATTTAAACCACATGACCTAGTTCTGCCTTTTTATGTTTACAAAATAATGTCTGTTAGCCTATCGAATAAAAGGATGCCATTGTTTATTTCGCAATTACACGTGAAAACCAAATAGTTTTTGCTTTTTTTAAAATTTTATTTAGTTATTGAACATATTTAAAACATCAAATCTTTAGTAAAGTCTGAAAAAAAAACAGACAGAATTTCTAACCATATTTAATTTTAACTACACCGTACATGATTTTGTTGAATATTTAATGGGCCTCTCAAATACCTTTGAGACATTTCTTGGGTCCATTTAAAGGATATGAGTATCAAAATGAATATTGTTTTCTTTTGTTTTAAAACTCACATTTTTGTTTGTAACTGCTTTTTAAATCAGATAATATACTTTATACTGAAAAATTAATGTGTGTTTAGGTTTGTGGTTTGTGTTAAGTCTCACAATCAATCAATTCAGCGAAATGCTACACAGTTTTAGTTCTTTTATTTAGATACATTTCAGCCTTTGTGCAATAAATTATAGCATATAGTTATAAAATATACACACATTTGTATACAGTGTTCATCTTAAAATAAGTATTAGATAAATCTTAAATAAATGCTAACACACTGTTGCATTGAAAAAGAAATTTTCTATAAAAAGCATGTTATTAAACCATAGACCTTTATAAATTAACAAACAGGTTTTAATATAATAAGCATTTTTACAATAGTTAAAGATAATGGTATATATTAGAGCTGAATACAAAATATTGTAATAAGCTGACGTTCTTTGCTTCGTGTTTGGTATCCGCCATTGCATTAGTGCTTTATGATTCTAAAATGTATTTAATGTATGCTATGTAAGAGTTTGATACGTCATTCCATTTGAAAGTTGTTCGTCGGTGTGCTTGCATTAGACCGGTTGTTTGACGTCATATTTGTAGAGTCCTATAGAACATAAAACATACAGGATAAAATACATAGAGTGTAATTGCTAACTAGACATACACACACAACACTTTAACTACTCTCTGCATACGTTTAACATGACATAAAACAATATATTTGGATTCAACCATTGTGTTAAAACTAAACCTAAGGTAAACTCTTACTCAAGTAAATAAAATAACGCTACATATGCAGATTGCTTTAGTTGGCTACTAAGTCAACGATTGTTATTTACACAATCAACAACAAAATATTTACTTTTACGTAATATAATACAATCAATGTTAATTAAGTTTATCATCAATTACACACATTTAAAACATTTTTTGATAATGGCGATTCAACTATTCCGCACATAGGCTATTATTTCACCGAACTTTTAAATATATCATACATTAAATACCTTTCCCCTAGACATCCGCATGCTACAGAAACTGATCCTAACAAATGTCAAATGACTATACATGCAGCACAATAATCAATTAGCAAACATTTAGCAAAAAGAACGAAGTTTAGAAATAATAAATAGCGAAGATTCAGTTATACAACTTTGCCTTTGATTTTTATACATTTATGAATAGCCTCAAATAATATAATTTGACAAAATGTGGAAATATCGTCAATCCCCATTTATGTTTACTAGCGCTGGGTATAAAATCACCTGCATTAAATTAAATTATATTTTATTCTCATCTTTTCTTGTGCCTTCGACAAGTCATGCTGTAGTTTGTTATTAATACGTAAAGTACTTGTACCACTGCCCATGTATCCGTTCATATATCATTTAAAATAAAGTACTTGTTAACATAATAAAATTATATATCAACTTACAGAAGAGGCTGAGAGAGTTCCAAAAAGGAGACTAAAATCAAGCCTACGTGCACGGTATTTTCGATGCATTTCTCTCAATCCGTCCCTTACCTACAAATAAAAAAAAATATTCTTTTAATTTTACAGCACTTGTTAAAAAAATCATCTAATTAACTACTGTAATTTAACTGAATAATGGAGTAGTAATCACTACGATAAATGAAATAGAAGAATGAAACTGTAGTATATTACATAAAGTACTCTGCTTGATATCAATAGTCTAGTGTATAAGATCACTATTTTTATGATAGTATAATCTAACAAGGGGTAAAGAGAATGACACTTAACACAAATAGCATTTCGAAATATGTATGTAAATGTTTGCGCAATTTTTATTATTTAAACAATTTTTAGTTACAAAAAAATATGATTTATATTTCCCAACCTGATGTTGAAGAAGGCATTGAAAGATGAATATAAACAAGCCCTGTGGATAAACAATTTTCAAATACAAAATGAAAACAAAATAACGGTGGTAAAATAAATTTGAAGAATGTATATTGATATACTATATTTATGTATATATAGGCGTGGCCTAGCGGTAGAGCGGTAGACTGCTAAATCCAAAATCTCGAATTCGAGTTCGGTTCAAGTCAGTAAAACCTAATTGAGTCTCACCCAGCTCTGAAGGGTACCTAACTTACGTTAGAAAAGGTAAAGACGGCTTAGCGTCACTGCATCAGCTGAACTCTACTTCTTCTGCCCCATGAACCATCATGTAGAGCGAACTTTACTTTTTCTATATTTAAAAAAAAATACTAGAAGAAATAACAACACTACCAACCTGCAGTGAGTTTGTGAGAGCAAACAGGTACTGGAAGATCACGTGGGGGTCTGTCATGGACAAGACACCAAACACCCAGGACAGGCCGAGGATTGGGGACAAGATACAGATGGACCGGACAACTGACCTGTGACGGAGTTTAATGAATTAGAATATTGGCATTGTCAAGATAGAGCTCAACCGGAAAATTAACATGGTTTAATAAATGAGTATACCATGATTGACAAGTTGTAGATGAACTACTTCACATACAAGCATTCTCCATTGTTTCGTATTGTAATTGATCACTTACTTTGTTCTTTCAGTCAGGTTTTTATTGGACATAAAATGTGAAGTCTGCATGGCTTTGAGAACGACCAACACGATCAGAAAATTCAACTGGGATAAAAATGTCTGCATTATAGTAGGCCAACACCAAGCTCATCATATTAAATTTTAGATGTGTACATTATATACATATATTATACATTTATTCATTAAAAGATATTTTCTATTGCCTTTTAATTAACAATTCAAAGCAACAAAAAGGTATAACAACTTTTTTTAAGGAAATGTTAAACAATTTAAATAGAACGGCTTATAAATTATAATTGATAGTTTTTTTAGAAAACAAAAAGAAGCCAATTATAATGATCTATATAACAGCCATATAAAATTAAAGTTGTACTTACAAGTATAATGACCAGTGCTGGGGCAGCAAACGCCCAAAATAAACCAGACTCAATGGAAAGCCAACAACTGAGGACATAATATTACTTATAAAATTAGGATTTTTGATTCATCAATTTATGTCAATATTGTAAAGTTATACTTATGGACATAGTGGTCAAGAAGGCGGTAGATGATGTAGAGTGCTTTTGTTCTGTGACTTAGGTATACATAAAATTAGTGTAGTAAGGTGTATAGTCAGTCACCGCCGCTTTCCTCTACTTCCTACATGTAGGCCTACACATCAGAGAAGTCCTTTGTATTCCGAGATCTGAGCTCGAGTCTTTCGATCCAGCATGAGTTATATCACATTGGAAACTACATATCTACCAAGGGCTTAACACCAGCCCTAACAATACACAAACCGCTTACACACACTTTTCTAATGACAATAATAATACTCTAATAATAATACTCTAAACCACGCAGACAGATTTACGAATTCAAAAAAACCATTAATAAAGCTATACTTATAGCTTATTTCGACATCAAATTTAAAATAATAATAATAAAAAGAATAGATAAATGTTTGCTAGGTTACAACAACGGGTCTTTTATAAAAAGCGTTGTGCAAAAAAAAGAAGAAAATTAATTGTTATAAGAAAGAACAACATACTAATCCTTCGTGCCGTATCCGTCACCCTTTGTTACTGCAAGAGATACAACTATAATAGCCAACGGTCCAACTAACAGCACCAACAAAAGAAAAGTACTTTGTTAAAATGTTTTCATCTTAAAATAGAAAACTTATTTTGCATTTTCTCTGATTGCTTTCCAATAGTCTTTATAGTAAAACAGGGCCTTATTCTAGATGCAGAAAATTAAATTGCATAAGTCTTTAAAAAATTAACATCTCCTTAAGTGTTGCGAGCTCTTTGCTATCATCTATATTCATGTAACCATCTATAATTGTAAATGAATCTATTTGATACATTATTTTTACTGGGAATAATATCAATACACCATGCCCTTTATCAATTTCGTTCAGGTATTTCTTAATTGCAAATATATATATATATATATATATATATATATATATATATATATATATATATATATATATATATATATAACATACTAGTCAATGTTATTACTATGTTAGCATAATCTTTTAAAATAGTTAGTAGATGTTTCAGTAATGCATATGTTAAGATGTTAAACGACTT